TTTTTTTTTTACATTTATAGAAAAATAAAGTCAAGGGAAGGGATTCTTTAAGTCCGGAAACGCTGGTGAGGCCGGTCTGGAAGCCCTAGTGCTGGGGTGAGGGATCGAGTGTTTGAGCACGAAGTCAGGCCCGGGGGGGCGGGGGTGGGCAGCTGCTCCCACGTGCACTCCGCTTACCATGCTGGGGCAGGGGGTCCTGGGCACAGCCCCCACCTAGGCCGGGCGGCAGGAGCTCCCCAGCATGGGCAGCACGCAGGTGCAGCGCCCAGCCCATGGCCCCAGGGGAGGAGGTCTGGGCTCTGCAAGCCGGTGTTTCTAACCAGGTCCCAGGTGCCCCACTGAGTAAACAGTCCCCAAGACGAGGACGCAGACGGGGTGGGGGAGGGTAGGAGAGCCAGAGGCAGGAGACTCTGCCTTCCTCACCGGCCCGGGCCTAAGGGCAACAGCCCATGCCCGGCAGTCTGAGACGTGGGCTTGGGCTCGGCCCGGGGCCACTGTACCCAGTGAAGGCTGGGAAGGCCCGTGGACTCCGAGGGCCAGGAAAGGGGACTCGGGCAACAAGTAAGAGCTTTAGTAAGCTGTAGTCGGAAGGGCAGAGAACTCTGTGATGTGGACACAGGCCCCCAGCCCTGAGTCCCTCCGGGGCTCCAGAGGGGCCGACCTGCTGCTACCATGAGCTGAAGTCCCCAAAGCCTCGGCTGGGCTTCTTCTTGGCCACAGGGACAGCTGTGCTGGTGGAGGGCTCTTCCTCTGCTGCCCGTTTCCTGGAAAGCGGAGACTCGCTCTGGCTGCTGGGCGTGGACAGTCCCCCGCGCTGGGAACCCACGCCCTCCCGCAGCACCTGCTCGGTGTGAGGTCACAGTCACATACGCACCCCCCCACCCCCGGGGTCCTCGTGCACGGTGACGCTGCCCCCCGGCACCTGCTCACCCCCCATGCCCGGTGCTCGCTCGCCACGGGCGGCGTCTGACCCGTGGGCACTGGGAGGCTGGGAGAGCAGCACGCAGACGGGACGCGCGCCCTCACTGCACTCACGTGGCCACTGGATTGATGTACTTGCCCACCCCCTGGCGGTACGTCTGGGGGCCCTGGCTCCCCGGCTTGGGCTGGTGGGTTTTTCCTGTGCTTTCTGGGGCTGCCTCCTCGAGCTGCGTCGTCTTGCGCTGCTCAGCAATCTGTGACGGAGCACGGTGACGGCTGGCCCGGAGCCCCGCAGGCCGGGCAGGGTCCCCGCAGCCCCTGCCCCCCTGGTGGCCCCCTCACCTGAGCGTCGGCCTCCTCGTAGGGGTCCACAAACACCGTGGTGGAGTCGATGCGGATCTCCTCCTAGCAGCAGAGGGGGACAAGTGAGGGGACGGCAGGAGGCAGCAGGCCCCTCCAAACCCGCCTGCCCAGTGCCCAGCCTGGGCGGCGATCCCCTGTTCTCTCTCGGCACATACCTTAGGGCGGTCGGTTTTGGGGTCGCTCTCCACGTTCTCCATGGCTGTCAGTGTGTCAAAGCCCCCAACAACCCTGCGGCCGAGGGACAGGGGTACCTCTGAGTGTGCCCCAGGGCAGGGCACCCCCAAAAGCCAAGTCCCTGTGGCATGGCAGGAAGAGGGGCAGAGGATGGGCCTGAGAAGGTGCCACAGGGATGAGAGGTCTGGGGTTGCGCGGGGGGGGGGTCAGAGCAGGGCCAGCGGGCCACAGGTACTCGCACTGCTTCCATGCACCCTAGCGCTTTTTGTGTGACAGGCTGCCGAGCTGAGGGTGTGACACGCCACAAGGCCACAAGCTGGAAATACCATCTGGGCCTTCATAGGACAAGAGGACAGAGAGGCGAGGACGTGCCCAGACTTGCAAATTGGACCCAGCCAGAGGGGAGCCCAAGGGGGGCGAGTTTGGACACGGCAGCTGGCCAGAGGGGGCTAGAGCGGCCCGCCCCTCGGCTGGCAGGTCTGCGGAGCCACATCCCCTGGCCAACAGAAAGGCCCAAGTCCCCATTTCTGTGTGGCCGTGACCGCAGCAGTGATGGTTGTGGGGGCAAGCAGGCACTGAGCCAGGTGTGGGGGCAAGGCAGTGAGAGGGTCCCACTGGGGAAGAAGCCTACCCGCACCAGCACCCCAGACCTCTTACCGCCCGAAGATGGTGTGCTTCTTGTCGAGGTACGCACAGGAGCGAAAGGTGATAAAGCTGGGCGAGGAGGAGAAGGGGAATCAGGAAAAGCCTGCGAGCTTCCCCCACAGCCTGCTTTGCCCCCAAGACTTCTGGGCACACACCAGGCATCCCCATCCCCCCAAAGCAGCTCTGGGAAGCTGGAGCTCCTTGTGTGTGCGGCCCCCACACCCTGCCTGGTCAGGGCAGGCCGTCAGCCAAGGCCGCCCAGGGGACCGGGACCCCAGCTCTGCCTCCAGCCCCGGCTGCTGCCAGCTTCTGGCGGACAGACACTGCCAGAGCCCACGGGCAGAGGGGGAGACTGGACACCTGAGCCCGTCCCATTGTGACAGCAGCTGAAGAAGCAGGGATGCTGAACTGAAAGAAAGGAGACGGGCAGGAAAGGGAGCAAAGACGCCGAGGAACGTAGGTAAACACCCCTAAATGCTGACCTAGTAAACTTTCACATCGAATTTGGTATAGAAATGAGTGAAATTTAAATGTCCAGCTATCTGAACATGGGAGCTGGCTGGGCTGGGGGGACGGCTCGGGCAGGGTCTGTCTGTGAGGAAAGGAGAGAGAGATTAACTGGTAACTGCAGACTTTAAATCTACTTAAAGCCAGAAGTGACACTTAACTTCCAAAGCAGGAGAAAGAGAAAAGAAGAAATGAAAAATTAAAAAAAAAGGGGGGGGAACCAGGAAGTACAAATTAGGATAACAGAAAATATGGATACTGACTGGAAGTATGCACCTAAGACCGTCAGTTTGAATTAAAATAACCCTAAATCTAAGTGTGTGTCATTAAAAAGACGGCCCTAAAGCTTCGAGAATCTGGAAAGCTCCAAGTAAAAGAAAGGAAAGAGGTCTAACAAGAGATGGAGAGAAGCAGTGTGGGCAGGGCTGCCCTCCCGGGACACCAAACAATGCCGCCCACGTCCCGACGGCCCACGGCACGCACAGTCAGCAAGGGACAGAGGCCCTTTCCAGAAACCCACTCCACCGGGGACAGCACCACTTCCGAGCCCACCAGGCCTGACCAGACACGGCCAGCGGGCAAGTCTCCACAGACGCCAATGCCCACAAGTGTGCAGACCTGAACTCTGGCCACCAGGTGGGTCTCTCTGCCATGCGTTTCTAACACAGGTCGGGAAGCTTAAAGGGGAATGAAAGAGTCCTGAAGAGAAGGAAAGACAAGCAATAACAGGGCAAACAAAGATATACCAGAAAGGAAGTAAAGTCTACGATTCGTTCTTTGACCTAAGAAGACAGTGAAGCTGGGAAGTGCGTGCCGTCAGCATGTGCAGACCCGGATATTTGCGGAGGCGGAGCCTGAGAAAGGAGAGAAACCGGAGGAAGCCAGTGAAGATGGAAACAGAAGGAAATTACATAAAATAAAACCAGAAAAGCCCTCCGTAAACCATTAAGGAGCGGGAATGCAGACACCACGGAAGTTTGGAAAGCTAGAGATGGACCAGTTACATTCTGGCAAAACAGAAGCTACCCAGATGGCGCACAAAGTGGAACCCGACTAAGGAATTAGCACGAAGAATCCGCAAAAGCTGTCCTTGGCAAGCTACCTTACCAAGCAGACCCCAATGTAAGCTAACCCTCCCCAGGCTGTGCACGCTGGGGAGGGTTAGCTTACATTGGGGTCTGCTTGGTAAGGTAGCTGACCAGCCAGCCCCGGCTCTGGGGTGAGGACTGTGGCACGCGGCCTAAAGCAGTGGCCGGTGGACCACCCGGTGCGGCGAGGACCAGCCCAGGTTTATTCCAGGACAAAACAGTGACAGCAAGGCTGGTCAACCCAGAGCTTCTATCCACAAATTCCAGAAGGAAGAGAAAACGCTCTGACCAGAGTAACAGATGCTAAGAGAAAAGCATCTGGAAACACAGCCTCTCCCAAAAAGTAGGCCCAGCAACAAATTTGATCAGATGGCAAAAGAGCATGTAAACTGGAGAGCAGGACGCCCACGTCCTCTCCTTACAGGCCTGACCGGGAGGGGACTGGTGTTCACACTGGAAGAGCGGACCACCACCTTGTGCTGATAAACCTGAGTATCTAGGAAACCCAAGACACTCTTAATAAAAACCATTCCAATTTTAAGAGATTTTAATAAAGCAGTTAGATCTAAAATCAATTTTTTAAAAAAAAGGTTGTTTCAGAGAGAGTGCGTGCATGCACACAAGCAGGGGGGCAGGGGGGAGGGGCAGAGGGAGAAGCGGACTCCCCGCTGAGCAGGGAGCCTAAGGCGGGACTCGATCCCAGGACCCTGGATCATGACCTGAGCTGAAGGCAGATGCTTAACTGAGCCATCCAGGCACCCCCAAAAATAGACTTTCTCTATATGAGCAACGGAATTGGAAAAGAATTTTGACTTTAAAATATCAAATTAGGAGCACCTCGGTGGCTCAGAATATATACTGGAATATGTTTTAAAGTACTATGGGCGATTTTTCCAACTGGAAATACCTGGAAAAAAATATCTGGAATACAGACGCCTAATCTAAAAAGCTCTGAAGAAAAATACAAACCTCCTCATAAAGAACAAAGAGGAAAGAGTCGACAAAGAACAAGCAGAAACAAAGAATTTTTAAAAATCAGAAATAATGAAACTCAGGTGAACTCCTACAGCTCCCAGAGAGGGAATGACAGACAGGTCAAGAGAAACCCTGGCTGGATGGGCACCCCCATTCCACCCAACCGGACGGTTCTGCAGGGGAATCCCATCAAATGTGCAGGAAAGCCGTCACCCCCGATGCCACCATCACCAGCCGCCACGTTGCGCAGACGGATCTCCCCTGTCCTGCCCACCCCATGGCGTGAGGCTCCTCCAGAAAACTGTCTTGCTACCACCCCGAAGACGCCCCTCCACCCCTGCCCTGCCAGGCTGGGTCTGGCCGCTCCCCTCCCCACACTCACTCCTCGTTGGGCCCTCACCCCCTGCCTTTCCATCAGAACACGGGGCCACCCGGGCCCGTACTTCTAGCCCATTCTCACCCCCTCGGCTGACCCGCTAGGACCAGCCTGGGTGTTGCACGCATCAGACATTATCAGCGCTGCAAGCACAATTCTCATGCCCTCCCCAGGTCTCCCCGTTTCTATAAATGCAGTGCACATCCTAGGCCACCCCCTGCCTGGGGCCAGCATCTGCCACCTCCCGCGGCCTCCCTGGGTCTCTGAGCAACCACCCACGTTACTTCGTGGGCACGCACAAGGCACACACATGGGGGAGGTAGGAGTCTCCTCCAGGGCGCTGCCCACTTTCTGGGCGAGATTCAGGTTGAGCACACCCTTTAAGACAAAGCTGAGAGGGAGGACCCACCCACAGGCGCCCGCTGACTCACAACTGAGACTTGTTGGCGTTGGGCCCCGAGTTGGCCATGCTGAGGATGCCCCGGCCCGTGTGCGAGAGGTTGGGCCGGAACTCGTCTTTGAAGGGCTTTCCCCAGTACGACTCCCCACCTGCAAGAGAAGCAGCATGGCCGGCGGCACCAACGCCGGGGTCCCGGCCCAGTGCCGCCAGTGGGACGCAGCCCAGCTCCAGAAATGTGTGCTGAGTGCCGAGGGGCACCGCCGAGTACTTCAGAGGGCAGCCCTGGCCCCGAGGGACCCTCGTCACCATCTCCCCACGGATCCCTCCCCAGCCCCCTGGCCCCTCGGAGCCCTGCGTGGGGCCGGACCCCTAGTTCAGGGAGTAAAGGGTGGAAGCTGCAGGTCATGACTGCTCACACCACACTGGGTAAGGGAGTGGCCTGGGCCTCGGAGGCGACAGGCCCAGAGGGGTCTCTAGAGCGGCCAGAGGGCATCGTGTTGCCTCTCCCCGTCCATCCAGGCCTTGCGACCCTCTCAAAGTGAGAAAACTGAGGGATGTGCCTGAGGTCACACAGCAGGCTGGTGGCTGGCCTATCAGATTCCACATCTGGAACTCTCAACACGGCCCCCCCACCAGCCCCCCGCCCCCCCATGGCCTACAGAGAAGCCAAAGCTGCCGGGGGAGCCCTCGGCCTACCTGTGCCTGTGCCGGTGGGGTCACCCCCCTGGATCTGTGAGAGGAACCAAAGCCAGTCAGCAAGCTGTGCCCCATGAGCCCGAGCCCCTGCCCGGCCCTGCGGCCGCGGCCCACCTACCTCTGGTGAGGAGAGCGCCCTCCCGGGCCACCCCCCTCAGGAGCCCAGCGCGGGGGTCAGCCCCCCGCACGTTCCCCGCCCGAGGAGCAGGGGCTCACGGGTACGACTCCCAGGAGTCGCCTGCAGCACGCGCCCCAGCCAGGAGTCCCACGGCCTCCACGGACGCGCAGGTGTGTGGCCAGTGCGACTCTCGTCACTCACCACAAAGTTCCTGATGGATCTGTGGAAGATGGTGCCGTCGTAATACTGCTTCTTGCAAAGCTTGATGAAGTTTTCACAGGTCTTTGGCGTCTACAGAACAGTCCAGATACTTCTGTGAGGTGAGGAGCAGCCGACGGGAGGAGCGCAAGCACCACCGGGGCCCCTCTCAGCAGGGCTGCCGGTCAGCTGCGCGGCCCGGACGCGGTTAAGCAGGACCCGTGAGGCTGAGCTGCGGACACCGGCATCTGCCGTGACCCGGAGCGAGGGCCGCCGAGAGCCGCTCAAGCAGGTGGGGGGCAGGGGGGTGTGTGTGTGTGGAGCCTGACCCCTTTCGTGCGATGGGTGCACACGCCCCTGCCCAGAACACGGGCCCAGGAAACACAGTGCGCGGCTAACGGGGTCCCTTCCGGCGAGGGAAGTGCGGGCCCCAGGCCTTCTAGGGACCAAGTGGGACATTCGTCCTACCACAAGCGCATACCAAGGGCAGCTACGGATTTAAGACCCTGGAAGGGAGCGCGGGCTCGGGGCGGGGACGGCGGCCACACGCACCATGTCGCAGTGCAGCTCCAGGTTGAGGTCGCCCTTGTTGGTGTGCAGCCGCACGTAGCCCTTCTTCTTCACAAACTGGTAGCGCAGTATGTCCTCGTCGATGGCAGCTGCAAACCGAGGCCCGAGCTCTGTGCTGCCCTCTGGCTGGGGCAACACCCCCCCACCCCACACATCAGGCTCTGGGGAGAGCCCAAGGCTCGGCCCCGGCCAAGCCCGGGCTCACAGGACCCTGGCCGCAGGACAGGGTGGGTGTAGGGGGCAGAGGGACGGGGCGTGGCTCGGCAACGGGGGCGGGGCGGGTACTAGAAAAGCCTGGACACGTGGGGTCGGTGGGGAGGAAGGGGACCTGTTAGGCCGAAAACACGAGAGGAAGGGGTGCAGGGCCAGTGCTGAGGTGGGACGTGGGCTGGAGCCCAGGGTGGTGCAACCCCGACGGGTAGAGGGAGGACCTCCTGCCCCCGGCCGGGCCCCTGCTGCAGCCCGTCGCTGCCTGACCACGTGGGAGCTGCCGAAGCCCCCGTGAGGGCCGGCACGATGGAGTGACGCTTGGGGGGGGGGGGGGGGGCAGGACGCCCGCCCTCGGCCGCTGTGAGGCAGCACTGCTGCAGACACAGGCACATGGGCAGCTACCTGCTTCGTGCGTGGTCTCCGGAACCATGGCGGTGGAGGTGAAGGAGGCGCTGACCTTCCCAGTGGAATAGTGCGCCTGCACAGGAAACCAGGGGGCCCATGAGCAGCGGCCCCGGAGGCCAAGACCCCACGGCTTGGGGCCGCTCGGGGCCCTTCCTCCAAAAAGCTGTCCCTGGCCGCCACCCACAGAGCCCAGCAGGAGCTTCCGGGGCGCTTGGCCCTCTCCCTAAAGGCTCAGGGAGTGAGGGGACCGAGCGGGGGCACGTACGATGAAGGGCCTGGACGGGGCAGGAGGCTGAGGCCCAACTGGCCAAGGCTCTCGTGGCAGCTGAGACCCTGAACTGAACTAGGAACTGGTCACTGCTGAGGTTCACAGTACGAGGGACTCTAATTCCTTTTCAAAGGTTTCAGTCTTCTACAGTAAACAGATTGCTTTTCCAATCAGGAAAAAATAAGCCCCAATATGTTGTATTTTTATCCAAGACAGAAAAGGAAAAAAAAAAAGGGGATTTCTCCCCATCAGAAAGAAATACACCAAAATGCTAAGCGCTATTGTTTTAGTTCTTTTTTTTTTTTCTAAAGATTTTATTTATTTATTTAAGAGAGAATGAGATAGAGAGAGAGCATGAGAGGGGGGAGGGTCAGAGGCAGAAGCAGGCTCCCTGCTGAGCGGGGAGCCCGATGCGGGACTCGATCCCGGGACTCCAGGATCATGACCTGAGCCGAAGGCAGTCGCTTAACCGACTGAGCCACCCAGGCGCCCCTAAGCGCTATTGTTTTAAAGGGGTGGGACTGTGAACAAACTTTCTTTCCTCTTGTAAGTTTTCCTGGATAATTCTCTGGGAGCCACGCTATCCCCCATAGCCCTGCCTGAACAGGGGAAGGAGCAGCTTTGGGGCCAGACAGGCCGGGGCACAAATCCTGGCACCATCACTGCCAACTGGGGGCCTCGGGACCAACCAGTGGGTGTTGCAAGAAGCAAACATGACACCCTGGCGGTGGGCACCAGCTGTGCCCTCCTCTCAGCACCACTGCACCCTCAAACACCCCTGCAGTCTCTCCCGGGGCTACAGTGTCCCGTGGTAACCAGGCAGAGGTCCACCCAGCCTCCCCACTCCAGGCTGCTGAGCTCGGGCCAGGGTGAGATAGAGACCCCGTGTGGCCCCCAGCACACGCCCTGCCACCCCCAGCCTCAGTGCAGGCCACCTCTGGGCCCCCAAGGGGTAGCTGGGCTCTGAGGGGTCCTGGCCACCTCCCTCCAAATGTATGCCAGGGCCCTCACGAGTCCCTTCCCCCAGTACCCCTCTGAGCGCAGGCTGGCTACGCTGGCAGCTGTGTGGCCCTCTGCCTACTCACAGCATTCAGCTTGTCCACTTTCTTCTTCTCGGGGACCTTCATGGTGGCCGCCAGGACCTCGTCCCCTTTGAACTCCTTATAGAGCTCCTGCAGTGTCTCGCGGGTCTCGGCGTTCGTATTTTTCAAATAATAAGATGGGTCCTGTCTGGCCTTTTCTTCATCTACAAAACAGCACAGTGTCCCTGCTCAGCCAGCCAATCCCCCAGCAATGTCCCCAGACAGGCGTGACAGGGACAGGAGGCCAGAGCCAGCTGCAACAGCAGAAGCCTGGAACAGGACGCAGGCCAAGTAACCCAAGCCTCCACACGGTGACATTTTCCTGGTGGCCACGATGCAGGGGAGGGGGTGCGGGGAAGAGCTCGAGGCAACAGCCCGCAAGGATGGCAAGTCAGCCCGCCCACAGTTTCGGCTGTGGTCAGCTCTGGACTCCGTCCCCAGCTGTGCCCTGGCCCCAGTCACACCCCCTCCCAGGACCTGCGTCCACACCAGAGGGACCCAGCAGCCCGCAGTCATCACCTGTCCCCGCAATGGGAACAGAGACAATTTCTAAGGAGAGGAGGACCTGGGAGAGGACGTGGCCTCAAGGGACCCTGGGGCGGAGGCAGGAGCCAGGCCTCCACTGTATGCGGCTGTGGGCACCAAGCATATGGGCCCCAGCTGGGACTCCCCACATCAGGCCCCTGTGGGCAGGCGTGGGCGAGTGCAGTCCTGCGAACCTCGGCACAGAAGCGAAGCATCAGCCGGTCTGGGATTGGGCAAGGCTCCTGGGTGCTCCCGCCGCCAGCAAGGTGAGGGCTTTACCCAGAAAGCACTGACCTGTTTCACCCAAACCCCTGGCACCCAGGCCAGCTGTGGTTGTACCTACCAGGATCTGTTATTTTTAGGTTATTCTTCACATGAAAGAAATTGGAGACGTTGAATTTGTCCAAATTGGTGGGGTCCTGCAGCAAAAAGAACACACGCAGCAGAGTGAGCCGGGCAGCAAAGGATGGGCGGGCGGCCTGAGGGTCCTGGGCCTGGAAGGAGAGAGGCCAGGGGCAGCACAGAGATCTGGGCTATCGAGCAGGGAATGGAGGGCACCAGGGGTCAGGAGCAGGCTCTGCCCAGGCAGGGCCACAAGCAGGGGTGGGGACAGCGGCACACTGTGTCCCCTTCTCCCCGGCACACGGCTGATGAGCACGAACGGACGTTCATCTAGGGGATGTGGGCAGGCATGGGGCAGCCACCTTAGGCCTCCCACAGCCCCCCGCGCTCCCTTCAGCCCGGATGCCACAGAGCCCGCAGTGCCTCGGGCCCTGGTGACGGCAAGCCCACCCCGTGGGAGGGAGCACACATGGACCGCTGAAGAGGATGGGACATGCCAAGGACAGGAACGGCCCATGAAGGCCATCTCCGAAGTTTCTAAGTCCAGGTCTTTCAGGAACCCACTCAGGGCTGACACCTAGAGGCACGCCTATGCTCGACGCTGGGGCAGGGCACACACCAGCCTGTCCTCTCCCACTTGGATACGGACATGGCTTTGGGGGCAGAGATGAGCGGCCCTGACGCAGCAAGGACAGGCATCGGAAGGAGAGATGTGACAGCCAGATGGAAGCGGCCGTGTGAAGACCTGGGCTGACAGAGAGCAGGGGCGCTGGGGCTGGGGGCGCTGCCAGGAGCTGGGGGCAGCTGGGAAACCGCAACCAGTCAGGCCCCAGAGCCTGGGCAGGGAAGTGGGATTGGCAGAGGGCACCCACCTGGAGGGTGATGATGTCCTGCCTAGAGAAGGGCTCGTCCGTCAGCAGGTCTCGGAAATTCTTGGCCTTGATATTTAGCTGCTCCACTGCCTGCAGCCAGGAGGGAGCCCACCGTTATGGTGCCTGCCCCACCCCTGGCCCTGGGTGGGTGCCAGCGCCTTTCCAGGGGTGAGGAAAAGGACGGCCTGACCATGTACCCACTGCCGAGAGCCCCACCACGGAGGGCGGAGCCTGCTGAGCCCCCGACACTCGAATCAGCCATCTCAGCAAGGCTCACCGAAGGACACTCCCATTACACACGTGACATCAGCAAACAGGCTCAACAAGGCCGGCCATGCAGCTCTACCAAACCCCTTGCACCAAATCTGTGCACTCTTTGGGCAAAAGCGACCCCGGAGGCCCTAGGGCAGCGCTGGCCACCCAGACCCTGCCAATGGCCAGGGACAGGTGGGAAAACAGCTCAGAGGGGGCTTCCCTGCCACACGGCGCCAACACGGCTGCTGCTGTGCCCTCTGCCGGCCCACCCGGAGCAGCAGGCTGGGGGCGGGGAGCGGGGCCTGCCCACCATCCTGCATCTGCCCCTCCAGGGGATGCCAGCGGCGGTGCAGGGTCGGGGGGGCACCTGGCTCAGCACTTCCCTCAGGCCTGGGCCTGCCCTCAGAGCACAGATTCCCTCCCAGGGCCTGATCAATGAAGACAAAGACTGTGGGGCAGACCCCTGGGGTACAAAACCACACCCCAGGTTTCCGGTCTGGAGACCGCAGGAAGGGCACACCTCTTCCCGACTGCACTGGGACGAGGCCAGGCTGTGCCCACGGTGCCTGGTGCAAACTCAGCGCCAGCCCAGGGTCGCCCTGAGCCACACACCTGAAAAGCCTACGTGTGACACAGTTCCTGAGAACCCACCTCATAGGTGTAGACGTTACCAGTGGTCCTGACAGCTACGATGTGGGTGTTGTTGGTGAACACGGTGAACAGCACTGGGCAGTGGTACTTTCCTAGAAAGAAGGCCCATGCAAAACCAGTCAGAGAAAGGGCTAAGGTCAGAGCAAGGGAGGAGGCAGAACCCCGTGTCAGCAGGCCCAGAACGGAGACCCAGAGGGACAGTCAGCCGCTCACGCCCCCTGCTCCAATCCCAGTGGGAAACTCCCAGTCATCCTGCAAAACCCAAGCCCTGCATGGCCTTCCTTGGAGGAGTCTGCACCATCAGCCCCCAGCCCGCTGCTAGCAGCCACCACCCTAGACAAGATCTTCCTCCTCCATCTCAGACCTTGCCACATTCCCTAACCTCCTATACCCTCGCCTGCATTACTACAACAAACTCCCACTGCCCTCCCCACCCCTGCCCCGCTGACTCCACACCAGGCAGCCAGGAAGCCCGTTCAAGTAAGTCCCAATGAACACATTGTGGAAAAAAAAGTGGGGGGGGGGATATTTACAGATCAGAGATTGAGGAGATAGCAATCACACGGATTTGTGTGGACTTTTAAAAAAATCTTGATTTGAGGGGCGCCTGGGTGGCTCAGTCATTAAGTGTCTGCCTTCAGCTCAGGTCACGATCCCAGCGTCCTGGGATCGAGCCCCGCATCGGGCTCCCTGCTCAGCGGGAAGCCTGCTTCTCCCTCTCCCACTCCCCCTGCTTGTGTTCCCTCTCTCGCTATCTCTCTCTCTGTCAAATAAATAAATAATCTTAATTTGAAAACTATAAAAAAACAATTATGAAAGCATTCCAGAATTTTGACTACGGGCTGGATATCTGATGATACTAAAGAATTCCTGTTAAATTTTTAGGTGTGATGATAGTACTGATTACTTTTTAAGTCCTTACCATTTACAGATACACACTGAAGTACTTAGGCATGAAATGACATGGTATCTGATACTTGCTTCAAAATTACCGAAGCAGGTGCCACAGGGGAGCAGATAAAATCACACAGCCCTGAGTGGACAGGAACTGAAGCTGGGTGATGGCTACGGGGCAGGGGATCACCATACTAATTCTCTCTACTTTCATGTGTCTGCAGTTTTCAATTAAAAACAAAGCCAAAGGGGCACCTGGGTGGCTCAGTTGGTTAAGCGTTCGACTCTTGACTTCGACTCAGGTCATGGTCTCAGGGTCCTGGAACTGAGCCCCATGGCAGGCTCCGTGCTCACCGTGGAGTCTGCTTGAGGATTCTCTCTCCTCCTCTCCCTCTGCCCCTCCCCCTCCTCACGCACATGCCCATGCTCTCGCATCTTTTAAAACAACAACAAAGCAAAAGGGGAGCCTGGGTGGCTCAGCTGGTTAAGCATCCCACTCTTTTTTTAAGATTTTATTTTTTTTTAATTTTTTTTAATTTTTTTAAAGATTTTTTATTTATTTATTCGAGAGAGAGAGAATGAGAGAGAGAGCACATGAGAGGGGGGAGGGTCAGAGGGAGAAGCAGACTCCCTGCCGAGCAGGGAGCCCGATGTGGGACTCGATCCAGGGACTCCGGGATCATGACCTGAGCCAAAGGCAGTCGCTTAACCAACTGAGCCACCCAGGTGCCCTATTTTTTTTTTATTTTTTTTTAAAGATTTTATTTATTTATTTGACAGAGAGAGACAGCAAGAGACGGAACACAGCAGGGAGACTAGGAGAGGGAGAAGCAGGCTCCCCGCAGAGCAGGGAGCCTGACTCAGGGCTCGATCCCAGGACCCTGGGATCATGACCTGAGCCGAAGGCAGACGTTTAACCTACGGAGCCCCCCAGGCGCCCCAAGCATCCAACTCTTGATCTCAGCTCAGGTCTTGATCTCAGGGTTGTAAGTTCCAGCCCTGCACTGAGCTCCATGCTGGGTGTGGAGTGTACTTAAAAAAAAAAAAAAAAGTGCTTGCTGGTAAAAAATGTTAAAAAAACCCCAGGTGAATGGTCAGATCTCGTCTCTCCTCTCTGGCTGGCAGCGGAGAGTCCTGTGGTTGCCCATGCCCTGCACGACTGCTCTGCTCGCCCCAACCCAGACCCCTCTGACCGTAGCCCCCTGCTTCCACCCCTCACACTGTTCCAGCAATACAGGCCTCCTCAGGGCCTTTGCACTGGCTGTGCCCTCTGCCTGGAATGCTTTCCCCCACATCCCCTTATGCCTCCTCTCTCATCGGATTCCCACGCAAACCCCGTCAGCGTGTCTTGCTATGACTCTCTCCTCCCCGCTCCTTATCTTCGGTTGCTGGAAGCAGCAGCATCTGACACGCTATGGGGAGCTGTTTTCCAGTTTCCTCCCTCACCATAACGTAAGCTCCTTTTATTCCAGGAGGGATGTGGCCTGTTTTGCTCTCTGCACATGGCAGGCACTCAATAAATATGTGCTAAATGAGAGACACACTGTGGGCCTCTGAGTTAGCCGATCTCAGAGCGGGGGGTCTACAGTGCTTGGCTACCAGCGTGGAGCTCCCTGACCTCCAAGACCGTCCACAAAGCGCTGTGCTTCTGTTTTGTCGAGGCCACTCCCTCATTTACAGTGAGCCGGCACCAGCTCTGGGGCGAGACAGGCGTGTCGGGCCCCAGCGTCAGGTGCCTCAGCATCTTGCCGGGAGCGCAGACAACCTCAACCGCGGCATCTACACGGGCTGAGAGAACTGTGCCAGACCCACAAAGAGCCAAGAGCAAGGTCGGTGCCTGCGAGGGTCACCTCAGCTCTGGTATCTGACAAGACCAGCGGAGGGTGTGGAGGACTACAAAGCAAGATCCCTGGGCTGGGATGGGCTTCACAAGCAGTGGTGAGGAGAAGCCCAGCCGAAGAACCCGGCAAATCCATCACACCCCCACACCCACCTGCCCTGGGCCTCTGAGCAGCTCCTGCCCCCAGCAATGAGCAGACCAGGGTCGCAGCTAGACAGGGTCCATGCCCACAGGGCCCAACTGTATGCACAAAGGCCATCAGCAACCCTCACGGCCCCACTGCCCTCATGGGAAGAAGTGCCCAAACTCAACATTTCATCCCCCACCCCATCCCCAGCTTTAAACTACCTGGACCTTTAAGGAGAAATTATGTTACATCTTTTTTTTAATTGGGGTAAAGTACACATAACCTTTGCCACTTTAACCATTTTATTATTTTAAGTAATCTTTACTGCCAATGTGGGGCTTGAACTCACATCCCTGAGATCAAGAGTTGCGTGCTCCACTGACTCAGTCAGCCCAAGGCGCCCCTACATATTTGAAAAATTAAGTGTCCAGCTTGATCAGAAAGGAATGATGGATTCTGCAGAGAACTTGGTGAGAAGCAGGGGCATTGGGGTCTGTGGCACAGTCTCTGAATTGGCTGTAAAAGGGATCACTCACCTTCCTTGTTCTTTGCAAAGTTCAGCTTGATCAGGGACCTCCCGTCCAGTTTCTGCAAGAAGAAGAATTAATAATTAGTAATAACAAGTAAGTGGCTGATGTGAAGAAACGCGGAGCCTATGAGGCTGGGTGAAGCAGAGAGATGGGCAAAGTCTCTGACCACGCAAGCCTTCACAGCTGCAGGCAAGAGGTAAAGCCGCAGGGGCCGCCCCACGGAACCCCCAGCCTCTGAGCGGCACCCTGACCCGCTCACAGGGGCGACCCCCACCTAGAGGCTGAGGGTGGAGGTGTGTTTTATACTTCTCAAATGTTGACACGTTTTTATTGTGAGCCCTGATGCACTGACTACTTCTGAAGTTAAAAATGAACGTATTTCTTCATCTGGCTGCGGGGCACACAGGCGTGCGCCTACTGTTCTGCTGTAGGACTATTTAAGAAAGACAGAACATTAAAAAATGGGGGGGGGGAGGATGGGTTAGCCTGGTGATGGGTATTGAGGAGGGCACATTCTGCATGGAGCACTGGGTGTTATGCACAAACAATGAATCATGGAACACCACATCTAAAGCCAATGATGTAATGTATGGGGATTAACATAACAACAAAAAAATTTAAAAAAAAAAGTAGAGGGGAAGGAATCAACACCCCCACATGCTGAGTGATGGGTCCTCTATTTTTCACAGTTCCTGCACTGTCTGCGGTTTACCTCTTCTATGGCAAACCTTACAATAAAGTCCAGGCAGCCAGAGGAAAAAAGCTGCCCTGGAGTCGGGGGCCTGGGTTGGAGCAAGTGAAGGGGGCCGCGGAGAGACCCCAATAGGGGGAGGCAAGACTGCGTGCCCAGGAGCACCTGACTGAGGGCCCACATCCTGGTGGCCCCTGGCCACTCTGGTGCAGGCCCGGCTCTGCCTACCCGAGCGAGGCACAGAGGAAACGCTGGTGGGCATCCCAGGGCCGGGCCCGTGTCCTCGCCCTCCCCTCCCCGGCCCAGTGCAGGTGAGCATTCAACTCAGGGCAGACAACAGGGTCCTCGCTCCGAGGCTGCTTCCATCAGATAGCCCTCCTCCTTCAGGCCCAGGCGGCCTGGGTGCATGACCCTGCACATAACATGCTCCGCCTGGGTCCCCGAGAAGTGACATGGGCCAAGCCAGCCCTTGGTTAGCTGCCATATTGGGCCTGGCCAGAGGCCGAGGTTTTGGGGCCCTGCAGAGCACCCGTGAAGCAAAATGCCCAAAGCAACAAAAAGCGCCCAGAGGCAACCGAATGACAATATCCACGGGGAAGGAGACCGAGGCCGTGAGGACAAGCATGGACAGGAAGACATGAGGGAGTCCAGGGGCACAGTGGGGCCAGAAAGCCACCCCTGGGAGCACAGAGTGCAGACCCTCAGCCTGACCCCGGCTGTTCCACTGAGGCCGGCGTGGCATTCGCATCAGGGAAGGCAACGGACCCTGAACACAAGCCAATCACGGGGCACAGGCAGGCAGCACGGACCCCACAGGAAGCCCCCGGAAGCCCACAGTGGCTCCCAGCAGAAGGCCTCACAGGAACACTGCCAGTCACGCTTCCAAATGACCAAAACTGAGAAGGACACAGCAGACACCCGAAGGACAGCACTCTCCTTAGGGAGGCCAGGCTGCAAGCATCACCTCAACCGTCTGAGAAAAAAGCCCACAGGCTTTTTCTGGTGGCCAGGCCCAGAACGCGCACCCCCAGTCTAGCCCCCTTTCTTCCAAGGGCAGGGAGGGACCACTGATGAGTCACCCACCTGACGCGAGGGGCCCACAGCACCCTACACTCTGTCACAGGGGCCAGCGGAGTCCAGACAGCACAGAAGGGCCTCCAGGAATCAGGTAACAAGACCTCGGCTAAGTAAAGGACCAGTGACATTTCACCTGTCCTACCTACGCTGGCAACCGGGACACGGTTCACACGGCTTGGCCCTCACTGCCTCCCCGTCAAGCCTCACAGAGCCCAGGTCCTCCTGGGCCTCCCTGACGGCGGCCTCCACCCTGCACGGCCTCCATGGTCTCCGTCACAGAACTGACCTGGCCTCACGCAGCCTGCTGCCTTCCCCATCAGGACAGGGCCTTATCCTAGCAGACACGGCTCCAAGGCCCTGGCTCCGGCCGGCTCTCAGCTCCACGGTGCCAGAACCGGCCGCCTCCATATTTCATCAGGTTAACCTCTCAGCCTCACGCACCTCCCCAGACACCCTGGAGCCGACTGTCCTCCAAGGTCCCACAGAAGTGCCCACCCTCCCTGCTGGCCCTCCTCATTCCACCTCCACCCCAACTGCCTGCCCCTACTCGTGCACCCAAATCCCTCCTGCCGCTCGGGGCTCTGCTTCTGAGGGGTCCGCCTTCCTGCTGAAGCCCCACTGGCCCGGAACGCCAAGCACAGGCTAGATCACCTGGTTCCACCCGTCCGTCCCTGGCATCCCTGGCATAGGACATGCTAACTGATCCAGTCCTCCGAAGATGGGACTGCACTAAAAGGCCCCTACTGGGCTCTCCCCGGCCCCGGGGAAACACAGACCCTGATGTGATGGCCCCGCAAGGCCCACAGGTCCATTTGTAACAGCAATGGTGGGTCCGGCCTCTCTGTGCCACCTCCTCAGCCTTCTTCCTGGTGCAAGTTTGCACAGCACCTCTCACGCAGACAAGTGCATAGCTCCCTGGCTGCTCTCCCACCTTCCACCCTTGCCTCCCTATAGTCCCGTTTCCCACACCGCAGCCAAGGCGAGCCTTTAAAACACAGTCCCGATCTTGACACGCTTCTGCCCGAAACCCTGCCCGGTTCCAGCACCCCCAAAACAAACCTGAGCTCCCCCAGGGCCTTCAAGGCCCCCGTGACGTGGCCTCTATCTACCACCATCTCCCCCCACCCAACCCCGGTCTCAGCTTCGATGGCACTGCTCCACAGACGCTCCCCAAGACCACCCCCCCGCCAGCTCCCTGCCGGTGACCGCCTCCGCCTCCCACAGCCAACAGCTCACAGGCCCTGCACACAGCACAGGCTCACACCTCGCTGAATAAGTGGCTGCAACTGAGGAACTGAAGAAATGGGCCTGCAGTGTGAGGGAACGCGAGGGCTCCGAGAAGTAAAGGGACCACAGGAAAGTGGGAAACGTAGCAGCCCCACGGGTTTATGATGGAGGCAAGGCGGGGGGGGCAGAAAAGGCGACTAAGCTGGAACTTGGCTCTGCACCCAACCTGTGTTGGGTGCAGAGATTACTTAAAAATAGAATCTTAAAAAAAATTAACGCTTTCATACTGAGGCGAGGCAAGGAAAACGTCTAAAACCTGATGATACCCGTTGGGGGAAAGGGGAACAAGCGTTTGCAACTTCCCTGGAGGACAATTTGCCAGTAGCTACCAAAACAGAAAATGCACCCACCCTGTGACCCAGCAGTCCTGGGAGGACACTCGTATATGTGTCCAGAGAAACGTGCACAAGGGTAGTCCCTGTCCGCCGTAACAGCGGGTGACTTCAAACACGCTGCGGCAGCCCCCCAGGAAGACGCATGCAGCCACCACAGGACACAGCAGGGTTCGACGCATGGGTGTTCAGATCTCCAACACTCCAAGGGGTGTGAAAGCAAGGTACAGAGGCGTTTGCGCGTGTGACTGCATCCATGGCCCAAGGAAAGAAGACGTACACCTGTACAAAAGTGTGTACGTGAGGGAACATTTCCAGAAAGGAACAGTGTGAGGAAGGGAGGGGAGGACAGTCCCATTCACAGTGCCCCGTGAACGGTCCTCTACCGCGCTTGTGTGTACGCGAAAACCACAGACCCAAAGGACAGACGCGAGGATAGCGTTCACTCGGCATCACTTAAACTCCTGCCCGGCCACCTACCTCTCCATTGCTGGGGTTGGTCCCATACTTCTTAAGCCAAGGGACGATGTTACTGAAGGGAAGAGAGGAGAGAATGTCGGCCAGGTGGACAGGTGCAGCCCGGTGGCAAGGCCACCAACCAGGAGGGCCCCGTCCGGGTGAGAGCTGCAAATGGGCTTCGCTCCGCTTCACTTCTGCTAGCACCTTGCCTTGACCAAGGAAGTGAGGAGTGTTTCTGGATACGTGGGTTTCAATAAAAACACACCTAGTGTTTTTATTGTGGTTACGGATAAACAACAAAACCAGCGAGAAAAGATACATGTAAATGTTGATACGTCCATACAGCGAGATACTGGGCCAGCATCGAAAGTCAGGCTTCCAGAGAATTCTGAACGACACAACTGAGTGAAAAATGGATTCAGAACTATCTTCGCGTGGGGCGCCTGGGTGGCTCAGTCGTTAAGCATCTGCCTTCGGCTCAGGTCGTGATCCCAGGGTCCTGGGATCGAGCCCCACGTCGGGCTGCAGGAAGCCCGCTTCTCTCTCTCCCACTCCCCCGCTTGTGTTCCCTCTCTCACTGTGTCTCTCTCTGTCAAATAAATAAATAAAATCTTTAAAAAAAAAAAAAAAAGGAACTATCTTTGCAGTATTATCTCAACCATGCACCATAAATAAACTCACAGAAAAAAAGGAGTATAAATGTTGACAGTAGTCATCCTGGATAGTGTGATTATGATAAATTTTTCCTTTTATTTTGAAGTATTTTCCACATTCTCTAAAAAGAGACTGAAGCATGAAAAAGTTACAGAAGCTGGTTTATGTTGGAACATAAAACTGAGCATCATGCTTCAAAACACAGCACTGGGAAAGTATGTACCTAAATTATGACTCTGCTTTCATAAAGTGAAAAGTACTCAATTTCATTAACATCCAAAACAGGTATAGGTAGGCCAATTAGAACCCTAGGCTCCCCCATGCGCGGGGAAAGGTCAATGCCACCCCAGGCAGGGACAGTAGCGCCTGCCAGCAAGGCTGCCTGGCCAGGGGTCACACCAACACTGCGGCCTCATCCCCGAGGCTCTGGAAGTCTCTCCTGGGTCCCCAAGAGGCCACCCAATGCTCCCGAGGCTGCCAAGACCCCAGTGTGCGGCCTGGCTTGGCACTACCTGAAGCCACAACCCCTCCAGCTGGTCCCATACCCCCTTCCTGAGTGGGTGTCCACAGTCTCACCCCTTTTGTTAGCTCTAAAGTCAAGGGAAAACTCACAGCAAGTCAAAGACGACGCCTTCAGGGGTGCAGACTGGGTAGACGAAGGGCTGCAGAGAGAGACTGAGAAAGGACAGAGTCACTCCGGGTCACGCAGTGGCTCCCGTGACTTCTCCCTTTGTTCCTCCCTGCTTCCCTCCAACAATTCCGGGGCTCCTCTGCCCAGCCGGGGCCAGGGGCCAGTACAGAGGTGACCCCCACATCCCCGCCCCTCAGAAGCTCCCTGCACACACCAATCAATACAAGGCAAGGGTCCCAGGAGGTGCTGAGAGGGCCTTGGGGGGATAGCAGCCGAGTTCTCCCCACTCTCTCTGCCGTGTCACCTGACACGTGTCATCATGTTCGAGCCCAAAAGAGGTTCCTGAGAGTAGCCTTGGGGCAGCAGGACTGGAATTCACTCCCTAAAACCTCACATGGCATGCAGGCCATACTCTTCTACTGAGAGCTGCCCTCTCTCATCCCAAGAGACTCTGGTGGACCTATCCTGGTCTGGGGGTGCCCTGCTTGCTCCTGCTTAGAGTGTGCACACAATTCCCCCCACATGTCCAAGGGGTAGGCACATGACTCAGGCAAGTGCCCTAGGAGCCCTGGGTAAGTTCTAATACATGGATATGGGGGTAGATGGGTCTGCAGAGACCCAGACTGCCACAAGCCATTTACCACCTCGTGGAGCGTCTACTTGGGAAAAGCAGAACATATAGATGAAGGGAGACTGTACATGGTGACCTTGCTTGAGCCAGTACCCTTTTGCCTTTCACGGGGTTTCCATCGCTAGCCATCAAGAGCCCTGGCTGACCTGGCTTATTTGTAAATCGGTCATCTCTAAGTTTGGTCAGCACAGGTCAGTCCCCCGGACCTGGACAGCCTGGTAGTGACAGGGTCACCTCCCCAGATGCTGCTCCAGAAAGCCCTCCCTCTCTGGCCCAACCTACTACTCTAACCCAGTGGTGATCCTGCTGGGGACTGATGAAAACAGGACCCAACACCAAAGCAAGCTCCAAATGGCAACACACCGTACATGCATCTTCTCCCAAATGGGTCTTGAAGGGCATATTCTCAAAGCACATTTTTACCCAGAACCCAAGGTAGTTAAAAAGTGGGTGAAACACAGTTTAGAGACCTCTTGGAGGAACTAGGAACCAAGGATGAAAGTATTTCCATAAAATCCATTCATACACACTCTGAATGAGAACAGATTCCCATGAGGCTGATGACAAAACTTGGTGGGGAGAAATCCAGCCAATGATGCCTGGGTCTCACTTGTTGACCCTCCCTGAGCAAGTGCCAGGAGCAGGGAAAGCCCTCACTCAGTGCTCCGAGGGAACCTCCAGGGGCAGACCGAGTGGCTGCATCCCTGGCCCTTCCTGCCCTGTGGTGTCTGGCGGAGAACACTAGGAGCGCTGTCAGTTCTCAAGGCTCATCGTGACCTACGGAATCAGAAACCAATGGGACACACACACACGATGCATGTGTCCAGAGCAGGGATGATCACAGCTTGAGCTTGGGGAAACTCAGGCCCAAATGGACCATCCCCAAACCCCCAATATCTTGGGGTTCATTAATGCTAGCCCCACTTCTCCAGCAGACCCACCTTCTGTTCATACACATACCAACCATGGTAGGAAGAAGCCTCTGAGTGTCTCTACAGCTGGGTCTCTCCCCATCCCCACCAGTAACCTGTGTTCCCGGTGGGGGGGAAGGGGTTCACAGTATCATGACTATTACTGATGCTGTTACTACCTAGACTCTGGACTAAAAGTAAAGCATGAAAGACATGGGCCCGGAGTCAGTCCACAGGGTTCAAGCCTCGATGGCATCACTTTCTAGATGTGACACCGGGGTGAGGGACTTCCCACTTTTAAACACTGATCCTCTCAAGTGTAAAATAGGCTTAATGACAGAGTCTACTCACCTTGGAAGCTAAAAAAGAAGCTAAAAGAAACAATGCATAAACATACAGACACAGAATGAACAGAAAGTAAGTATTAGTTCTTATCACTGTTAGGTCACCTTTTCTCAATTCAAGGAAGATCTAGGTAGGGGAACACAGACAGAACCCACATCTGCATCTCCAAGGATCAGATTCACTGTCAAATAATGAGTATCAGAAAACAACTAGGAGGGACAGATTAACACTCGAAACTCTTACCTGCAGTGATCAAAAGGTAAACGACGAAAATTTGCTTGTGGAATATCTGTTTAAGATGAAAATAAAAGAAAGTTTATTCTGTGAATAACCTCATGGATGTGTTCTTACCAATAATTCAATCCCACGTTAAGAAAAGGTTCATGTAAACTACCTACTGCAAAAACTAGTGTAGGTTAAAAAACCTTTCAATAAGTAGAACACATGGAGTACATCAAGAACACACTTAGAGGAAAAAGCACATACTTGCTTAAGCCACTGCGGTTGGGTTTCTCCCACAACCCTAACACCTTTGCTGTGGGGTCTGGCTTGGCTTTCCAAGACAGCTGTGCTGGTTTTATCCCCAACAGCAATTAATGAGAACGTGCTCTTTTTACTGCAGCCTTGATAGATCTGGGTATTATCATTCTTTTTATTCTTTATTAACTTGACAGAAAAAAGAATGTTATTTTAATCTATGTCAAAAAGTATCACCACTGGGGCACCTGGATGGCGCCGTCAGTTAAGCGTCTGACTCTTGATTTCAGCTCAGGTCATGGTCTCAGGGTCGTGAAATCAAGCCCCACCCACGTCTGCTCCGTGCTCAGTATGGAGCCTGCTTGAGACTCTCTCTCTCTCTCTGTCCCTCCCCAAGCCTGTTTTTGCTCTCACACGTGCTCTCACACACAAAAAAAATATCACCACCAAGATTAAACATTTCTCATGTGTTTAGTGTATTTTCTCTTTTGTGAATTATCTGTGTTCTCAACCTATCCGTCTGCTACACTTTGTGTTCTTTTTTTTTTTTAAAGATTTTATTTGACAGAGATACAGCGAGAGAGGGAACACAAGCAGGGGGAATGGGAGAGGGAGAAGCAGGCCCCCTGCGGAGCAGGGAGCCCGATGTGGGGCTCGATCCCAGAACCCTGGGATCATGACCTGAGCTGAAGGCAGACACTTAACGACTGAGCCACCCAGGCGCCCCTCTGTGTTCTTGTTCATTATTAATTTTTACAGTCTCATTGTATAGTGAAGACATCATTCCTTAATTACACCCCCCCCCCACACACACACACACATACATCCACACCAAGGGAAACAGAAGGATTTCATGCCTTACCTGGTTTCTTGCCACCATAGAAGTGAGTGTATTCGGCACAGGTAATGTACCTGAAGAAGAGAAAGAGAATATTACTACCACCCCCCTTTATAAATAGGACAGTCTCTGGAAGTAAGTGATGACTGAATCGTTTCACTCATTCAGCAAATGCTTATTAAACACCTACTTTGTGTCAGACCCATAGTGGTAAATACAACAGAACACAGGGATACACAAATTAATAAGCAAATACAAACAATCCTGCTTTCCTCTGAAGAAAATGAACAAAACTTAACAGAAGTCTTGATGATGCAAAGGAGCTAGCCATGGGAAGATCTCGGGGAAGAACTTTTCAGGCAGAGGGACCAAGCAGGCTTATCACATATAAAAGCCCTGAGACAGGAACAGTTGTTGTGTTTTCAGAAAAGGGTGAAGTCGCTGAAGAAGAGTGTGCACACGGGCATGGGGCAGCAGATGAAGAAGGTCTTACCCAGAAGCTGGGTAAGAGCTGTGGATCAGCTTTAAGCAGTATGGAAAGCTGCTGGAGGGTTATGAGTAGGGCCCTGGCATGATCTAACAGAAGTCCTCAAAGCATCACTCTGGCGCCTGTGTAGAGAGGGACAAGCAAGAGAGGCAGCAGAAAACCAATCAGGAGGCAACTACAAAGGTTCAAGGAGGAGTGGACATAAACTCCACCTATGGGAGGGTTGGTGGATGAGTGAGAAGTGGTTCCTGGAAGAACCACAAAGATTTACCGATGAACAGGGGGAGGAGAGAGCCACAGGAGAGAGGCACCAAGGCTAACTCCCAGACTTCTGACCTAAGAAACTAAATAGCGGTGTGACCACTGAGAGGGGGGAAATGAGGGGGGAGCATATTAAATTTGAGATGTCTATCAGACCTCCAACTGGAGATGTTGAGTAAGCAGCTGACTATTTTAAGAGAGAAGACTACAAAGAAGAAGGTAAAGGGAGAAAAAACGTGGAGAACATGGATGTATGAAGTCTGGGAGAGAGGGAGGAGGATCCAGCAAAGGAGACTGAGAATAGAGAGGCCACTGAGGCAGACATAAAACCAAGACCATATGGTGTCCCACATGCTAAAGAAGGGCTTCAGAAGGAGCGAGATGGTCAGCTGTGTCATATGCTGTTGAGAAGCCCAACAAAATGAGAATTGTGAACTGACTACTAGACTTAGCAACAGAGAAGTTACTGGGATCCTGACAAGAGTAGTGCTGCAGAGTAAAGCCTGCCTGGATTGGTTTCAAGAGACAGCAGAACACAGCAAGCAGGTGCAAGTGTTTCACGTCTTGTTAGAAAAACAACAACAAACCACAGTGGCAGCTGGAGGGGAGCACGGGGCAAGACTAATTTGTTTTAAACTGCAAAACTCGGAGCATGAGTGCAGCCCGACGAACCAGCACGCAGGGAGACTGGAGGCGCAGGACAGGAAGGGGCTGATTCAGGAGCAGAACTCAAGAGTGCAGGGGCCCGTGCTCGCCCAGCGCCGAGGTGATGGGTGGGCCACGCTCGGATGAGGACACCTACGGTGCGTTAGAACCGGGAGCCCGGGAGACCTAGGCGCCGGGGTATGGGGTGGGGGGTAATTCTCCGCCTGGGGAAGGGGTCAGAGGCTTCTGGGACGAAGCGGCATTTGAGAGTGGCTCTGGGAACCAGCTCTGAGAGAGGGAAGGGGTCGGCGCGGAGTGCGGGACAGGCGGGCACCGAGCCGAGCGGGGCTCCCCTCCCGGCTGCGGCTCAACTTACATCTTGTCCTTCTGATGCTGTCGCTTCCCCATGGCGGCGGCGGCTGCGGCTGCGGCTGCGCTGGCAGTGCCAGGACCAACGAGCGCGGAGAAACGACGGCAAACAATCCAGATCCCGACTTCCGGGCCCAGCTCCCTAATTACTTCCGGGTCTCGCGGACCCGCCCCGGAAGTGGGCGAGGGGCGCGAGGGAACGGTGGCGCCTGGTGCCAAGTGCGCATGCCCAGCAGGTACAGCCTGGTCCTAGGGTGCCTGGGCGGAGCTCGCGGTAGGGCTTAGGTGCTGGTGGGCCGAGAGGCCTCTGCCTCGAAGCCCCACTTTCCCGGGCGGGTGGGGGATGCTCTCTCTGGACCTTTCGCATACCAATCCAGCCCTGGCTATGTGCCGTCCCTGCTCAAGCCCGCCCTGGTTTCACCTGGATCTTTAAAAAAAAGTCTGCGGGGCAGGGCGCCGGGTGGCTCAGTTGGTTAAGCGACTGCCTGCCTTCGGCTCAGGTCATGATCCTGGAGTCCCGGGATCGAGTCCTGCATCGGGCTCCCTGCTCGGCAGGGAGTCTGCTTCTCCCTGACCCTCCCCCCTCTCATGTGCTCTCTCTCAAATAAATAAATAAAATCTTTAAAAAAAAAAAAAGTCTGCGGGGCACCGCAAGTCCCACCAGCATCTGTTTCCTTCCGCGGCAGACGCCTCCAAAGCCACGTCCACATTCGCTGTATGCCCGTTCTCCTCCCATTCAGTCCTCACCGTCTCCAGGCCCCTCTCCTGGGCGAATTAGGGGCAAGTGGCCATTAAGCCCGAAAGTCCAAAGCCCTCACTCATCTGTTCCCCTTTCTTAAGGACTCTTCCCTCGACCAGATCACTATCTTCCTGTGCCCCAGCCTAAGCCCTGGGCCTCCGTCTACACCCAGGCTCTACACCCAGGCTCGTGGCTTTAAATACCACTTGTATCCCTTGATTCTCATCATTAAACGGCCAACACTCCAGATTCCTGACCTCTACTTAGGTACCACTGATCTCAAATTTAACATGTCTGGTCAAAACAGAATTCTCCATCCCCCCTGTACCCCTACTAGTCAACTGTACCACTAGCCAATCACCCAAAGCCAGTTGTCCTTGTCCTTTCTCATTTCGTGGCTGCCTCCTTCTAATTTTCTAGGTTTCAATATAAAGGTCATCTCCTCAGAGACGCCTTCCCTGACAGCCCACCACATACATGCCCAACTCAGCTCCCACAGGACTTACCACAACTTATAACCCTGTTAATTAGATCTATGCACTGGTTACACACACACACATGAGGATAGGATGTGAGCTCCTTAAGAGCAGGGACCCCAACCACTTGGTTTATTATCTCCAGTCCCAAGCAAGGTGTGAGGCATACACAAGGGTTCAATGAATATCTGCTAATGTCCAGCAGTCCCCAAGTATTTTGTGAGGACTCACAACTCACATGCAGGTTTGATTCTCAGGTTGGTGTGTGAGAGGAGTCACGGTCTCTGAAACTCCTTAGGGAGGTGCCAAGTTGGAAACTAATACACCAGCTTGTTTTCCTTCAGGGTGGGAACAGATCACTGTTTCTAAACCCACACCAGGATAAGGCTTGAGTTTAGGGGCCAAGTGCAGGAAAAAATGGTAGACTTGCAACTCAGTGGGGTCAAGTGAGGCCTAAAGGGGCCACAGACACTGTAGGGAAGGGCAGCACTGTCTCATCACTCATTTCTCTTTCACACCGCCGTGGCTGGGGCACCTGGGTGGCTCAGTTGGTTGAGCGGCTGCCTTCGGCTCAGGTCATAATCCCAGGGTCCTGGGATCGAGCCCCGCATAGGGCTCCCTGCTCAGCGGGGAGCCTGCTTCTCCCTCTCCTCCCTACTCATGCTCTCTCTCGCTCTCTGTCTCTCTCTCAAATAAATCTTTAAAAAAAAAAAAAAAAGTACCATGGCTGAATTCCCATGTTAGAGTGCAAGCGAGGGGACTTCACAGTAGCGCTGACCTGACCAATTACTGTATGCAGGCTCAGGCTGAGGGGGAACTCAGGCTTGCACTAGCCTGAACACCTCTTTCGACTGAAGGAAGCCCATGGGATTGTACAGCCTCTAGGGAGCCCAGCGCAAAGAAGGCACCTCCGCGGGAACTTTATTCATTCCTTTAGCCACCTTCTGTAGGGGAGAGGTTATGGGCCCCTCTTGTGGGGCTCAGGCTCTGTGCTGCTAGGGTCGTTCTCAGAGTCATCTTTGGGTCTTGGCACAGGCTGGAACTTGAGCAAGACAGGCGGGGTGAAGATGGAGGCCTTCACAGGAGGGAGTGGTGTCTCCTCAGCATTGGGGGGACCACTACAAGCCGAGGTCCTGTGCAGGAGACAGCCAAGACACGTCCGTGAGGTGGGATACTGGCACAAAGAGCCGCCAGAAGTACACATGACAACGCTTCAGGCTGTGGGATGGCTTGCAATACATTTCTACTTCCAGAACTCTCTTCCATAGATGGTTGTTCCAGGCTGTTCACTGCAGCAATGTTTGTGATTGTGAAGACCTGGAAACAACCTAGACGCTCCTCAGGGAATGGCTAAAGGAACCACAGGCGCCATGTGGCAGGCGGTTCTGCAGCTGTTGAAGGGCTGAGGTAGGTCTGTATATCCCAGCAAATAAAGATGCCCCAATGGCACAGTAGTGGAAAACAGCAAGCTGCTGGGAAGTACATGCAATATATAATCCTGCTTTGGTTACAGAATTAACCAGTGTATTTGTGTGTGTGTTAGAAGGGTACACGTGAAACTCTTAGCAGTGGGACTCCTAGAAGCAGGGGCCTCTTATATTACACGTATTCATTTCTCTATTGTGAACTTTTTCCCATAGAACATGTCCTGCTTTTGTAAACTTTTTTTAAAGCCAATGAAAAATAACCCACTTTTGATGATAGCATCATGAGAACACAGCTCACTCAGAAAGCAATACGTAACAAGAGCCTAAAATTGTCCCCATCAGTGCAATGTTTCAACGAGCAAGAATGGTTGAGGAAATATTCCATCCATACAAGGGAGCATTTTGCATCTATTATTATTGGTGAACTTAAGTATATTTCTAAAGACCCGAGGAGAAACGCATTCCAGAGCTGGCTACAAAGCTGCCTAACGGGACACTCCCAGTTAGGTGACAGACTACCATATGTGTATAGACGTGTTTCCACAGGGAAAAGACAAATATATGCTAGTGCTGGTTATTTCTGGCAGTGGGCATAAGAGTGATCTGGTATGGCTTTTCCTCTCCTTTGTGTGCGGTTTTCAAATTATCTACAGTAAATACATATTTTTTAGAATCTGAAAAAAGAGTCGTTTTGAAAACTGTTCAGACCATTTCCCTTATAATTCCGCTTCAGGAAATTCATCTGAAGTTCAGGAACAGCTTCGCACATAAAGACTTTAATCCCAGCACCAACTATACTCGTAGAGAAGACAACTAGAAGCACCTCATGTGTGTGGAGTTAAATGATAGCCCTACATGCACAGGATATTTATTATGCAGCCAACGAAGCTCAGCTTCAAGAAGTGGACCAGTCCCCATGGCCATCATGGTAAGTGACAAAGGCAAGATAAAAGAAATGACATTGTCTAATTGAATCACACCCTTATAAAACTATGCCTAGGGGCACCTGGGTGGCTCAGTCGTTAAGCGTCTGCCTTAGGCTCAGGGCATGATCCCAGGGTCCTGGGATGGAGTCCCGAATCGGGTTCTCTGCTAGGCGGGGAGCCTGCTTCTCCCTCTCCCTCTGCTGCTCCCCCTGCTTGTGCTCTCTCTCTCTCAAATAAATAAATAAAATCTTAAAAAAAAAAAAAAAAAAAACCAGAGCAAAGAATTTGAAAACGTCTATGGCTCCTGATGTTCTGATAAACTGCCTTTCAAAAGGACTAACCTTATACTTTTGTGCTTCAAAAGACACCACTGAAAAAGTGAGAAAACCACCCACACAGTGGGGGGAAATGTTTGCAGATCCTATGTCTGATGAGGGACTTGTGTCTTCGGCAGTTCCTCAAGATACAGACTTACCATATGACCCAGCAATTCCACTCTTAAGGGTATACCCAAGAAAACTGAAAACTATGTCCTCACAGATACCTGGCCACAAATGTTCCTAACAGTATTATTCACAAGAGCCAAAAAAATGGAAACAGCCCAAATGTCCATCGACTCATGAATAGAGAAAATGCAATATATCCATACAATGGAATACCGTTCAACCATAAAAAGAAAGTCAACCCATAGAATGTACAGCACCAAAAGGGAACCCTGATGTAAACGATGGACTTTTGGGCAACTAGGATGTATGAGTGCAGGCTCATCAGTTGTGAACACACGCATCACTCTGGAGGGGATGTTGATAATGAGGGAGGCTGTGCACGTGGGGGGGTAGGGGGTGTATGGGAACTCTCTGTACTTTCCTATCACTTTTGCTGTGAACCTAAAACTGCTCTAAAAAATTTTAAGTCTTAAAAAAGAAATTTAAG